ATATGATCACTGATAAAGTGATAGTCGATCTCAATGTGTTTTGTTCTGGCGTGAAAAATGGGGTTGTTCGCAATTGCAATTGTAGATGTATTGTCACAATAGAGCTGTGTCGGTGAGGTGATCGGAATGTCGAAGTCCGAAGCGAGCCGGCGAAGCCAGATCGTATCGGAAGTCGCAGCGGCTAGTGAACGGTACTCTGCCTCCGTCGACGATCGTGCTACTGTCCTTTGTTTCTTCACCGACCAGGAGATAAGATTTGGACCGAGAAATGTACAGTAACCGGACATAGATTTCCGGTCATTTGAATTTGCCGCCCAGTCTGCATCACTGTAGCCTCTAAGAGTAAGTTCGCCTTGAGTTATAGGAAGGCCGTAATCTGTGGAGCCTTTGATGTATCTAATGAGGCGTTTTAGAGCTTGGTAATCACAAATCCTCGGGTTGTGCATATGTTGGCAAACTGAATTGGTGGCGAAAGCAATGTCGGGTCGCGTGATTGACAGATATTGAAGTGATCCGGCGATCTTGCGGAATAGCTGTGGATCATTGAATGGACTTTCGTCCAGGTGTTTAGGTTCCTTGGTCGTAGCCGGAGACGGAGCTGGCTTACACTCGGTCATACCTGCATTGCGAACGAGCTCATGTGCATAGTGGGATTGAGAAAGAAAATACCCAAAGTTAGTTTTAATAACATGTATGCCGAGGTATAAGCCCATTGCGTTTGGGTCCCCGGAGAAGCACCTGATTGTCCTGAAGGCTCTTTATAACGAATTCGTTAGCGGTAAAAGAAATCGACACATTGTTATCGGAAGTAAGACTAGAGACAGAAAGAAGATTATGTTTTAAATGCGGGATGTGTAAAATTTTTCGTAGATAGAGCTTACGAGTGTGCTCGGGTAGCGGCAAGATGCCTTGACCCGAGTTCTGAATGGAAAGGTTGCTTCCGTTGGCAATAGATACCGAGTCATAGCCGGCGTAAGGGACCGAATGCTGAAGATTTGTAGCATCTGCGGTGAGGTGGGAGGAGGCACCCGAGTCCAAGATCCAGTCATGCGTATTGACTTGTTGTTGTTGTGCCGTGAGCGCCCTCGAATTTGTCGGCGGTGCGTAATTGAGATTGCATCTATGACAGCAGTTGAGAGCCGCATGGCCAAGCTTGCCGCAAATCTGACAAGTGGTACGGTGGGTGGGAGGTCGAACAGACGATGATGCTTCTACGGGCTGCGTTTGTCTTTCATTCGTCTGTTGTCTTGGAAATGGGCCCTTGCCTCTCGGCTTTTTCCCTTTGTAGTTGCGATTAGAGAATAGTGCCGTGGACTCAGATTGTTGAGTCTGGTCTTTGAGATTCTGTTGCTGAAGGATAATTTCTTCACTGCTGAGAAGTGAATAAAGGTCGTCCAGGTGGATGGGTTGCATCGATGTTCTAATAGCCGTCTTGAATGAATTGTAGGCAGAGGGCAACCCGTTCAGAATGTAGAGTACAATGTCTTCCGTATCAACGGTGGAGCCGGCGGCCGCGATGTTGTCTACAATTGTCTTGATTTGATCAAGATATTGTCCCATGGTGCGATCTCGCATCTGAATTTGATGTAGCTCGTTCTTGAGCTGAATTACTCGCGATCGGTTGGTGGGTTGAAGTCTTCGTTCGAGAGCAGTCCAAACTTCATGGGCGGATCCAAGATTGATCACATATGGTAGAATCGGTGGAGAAATGGTGGCTAGAAGAGCCGAAACGAGATTGCGATCAACCAGCTTCCATCGATTTTGTTCCTGAAGAGTCGAGTTCAGTGAGCTGACTGCTTGACCGGTTAGATGAGCTTCGTATCCATTAGCGGCGAAATGCTGCGACAGTTGCAGGCGCCATATGGAATAATTGTCGGAGGTGAGAGGATTTGGAACCATATTCTTGACATTTGAGATCAAGAATTTTAGCTGAGGGGGAATGAGGAGATCAGAATCTTGATTTGAGGTAGTGGACATGGTTCTGCCTTCTGCTCCGGATCGGCGTGATCCGGCGTCGTCTTCGTCCGCCATGATCCTAGCGACCGCTAGCCAGACAAGCGCGAGGGAGACGAACCAAGATCGAGGCGATAGAGCTTCTAAGCTCTGATACCATGAGAAATTCCTTCACTGGCTGAAGGAATGAGCGGGTGAAGAAGAAAGAGTAAATGCAAGAAACAGAGAGATAAAGGAAATAATGAATTCCATTAATCCAGACTATTACAGAGAAGTATAATATATAGACAAGTTAAAAACCAAGAAGGTACAATGCTGATGTGGCAATAAACACTAAAACCGTTGGTACTTAACAAATGTCACACTCAATGGAGAATAATACTACTTGCTCCGGGGAAGAAACGTCATCATAAATGATAAATACAATGATTATTTTCCCTTGGATTATTTTTCAAGAAAATCTATCTTAAAATCAACTCCTCATATTCAAATTGAGCTTATACTTGCTTGAAATCTACTTAACCATCATAAAATTGGAGTTACTTTAGAAGATACAACCACTTGATACAACCTTTTCTGTTAGCATTGTGTTAATTTATTTGCAATCCTAAAGAATCACTTCTTAGGGCAATATATAAAATTCTATGAGTCTTATTAAAAGAGGCATAGTATTTGACTCTTAAAGTATACGCATATGTAGATTGTGTGGGTTCTATAGTTCGGGGTCTTGGTCCTTTTTTTAATAATATTTAAATGGTATGTAACAACTTTGTTGCATCTGTATTGCGTTTGTAAGAACTTTTCCCTCACGTTCTTGTTATTTCTGAATACAACTTCTATAAACAATAATAATGCAGAATAAATTCCTAAGTTCCCCTAATGGCACAGCTTAAATATCTCCATTATTTTTATAAGTACCCATTGAATCATCCTGCTCCATTTTCCATGATGTGGCATCAGAGAAAGTTATGAGTCCGGATTGAAGAGCTTGTCCTGATGGTAGATGCATCCATGTAACATTTTCTTTGGATATTCCCTACTTTATTTACAAGTTATGTCATTTTTATTGGGACTTTGATATAATTAGTTTTTTATTTATAGCTTTTTTCCTTTCTAAGAACCTAGGGGCGTAAAATATTGATCCGACCCGAAACCCGATATGGATCTGACCAAAAGAATTTTGAGTTTGGGTCAACCTATTTGCCTGATGGGTTGGGTTTGGTTTCATTTTTTGACCTGTTTATAACCAGGTCGAGTTTAGGTTGATCTGGAAACCTGAAATCAGTCCAGATTTGAACCGCGGGCATCAGGTGTTCTTAGTCCGGTCCCGAGTTGCGATAGGTATCATGTGGTCTGGCCTCGGCCCCATGTCCCGCATATCTGGTCTGGCCTTGGCCTCACGTCCGGCACCCATGACCTACCTCCCTTCTATCGCCTGCAGCAGTCCCAGTCACGGCCCGACCGATCAACCCTGCAACCCTTTTGTTGAAATCTTTGACCGGAAGAGTAGGGTCGAGCGCCAACTCCATTTGCAGTTCGAATCATATGACGAATCCCTCGCTTGCAACATCATTGCCAACGACAAGCATCCGTCGCTATGGTTGTTGGAGTTGGTTCCAGCTCAATTGTTTGTGTCTAGGTTTGTGGGTCGCTGCAGATCAACCCAGTAATCCGCATGAGTTGGGTGCAAGTTCGAATTCATGACCCATTTGCAAATCTGGATCGGGTTAGGTTTAACCTATTTGGACTTGGGTCAATTCGAGTTTGACTTGGACCTGACCCGTTGACCCATTTTGACACCCCCTATAAAAACTCTTATATTATTATTTGGTTTATTATGGTGTATGGAGAGAGCTATAGTTGTGAATGGAGCTGGCTAAATTTATAACCAAAACGTTACAATATTCAATTTAATTCAACTTCTTGTAGATATGAAGAATCGAAAATTGACTTTGGCTTCGTTTGAGACGGCTTTCTTTCTGCTTCTTAAAGAAGCTCTTTAATACAAAAATCAAAATTTTTGTACTAGAAAGTTGCTTTAAGAAGCATAAAAAAGCTGTCCCAAATGAAACTTTAGTTGTTTCAGAAACCTATAAAGGAGAGTAGCGATAGGACGATAAGATTGGCATATATGATGAATGTGAAAGATTGTTTGATCAAAATTGAATGGGCTAGAGGGTTTAATTAAGGATTGCATAAATTAAAATTAAAAAGAAAACTGATCATTTATGTTTTAGCTCCTATGAGTTTTACTGGTAAAGGCAGTCCCAGTCACGGCCCGACCGATCAACCCTGCAACCCTTTTGTTGAAATCTTTGACCGGAAGAGTCGGGTCGAGCGCCAACTCCATCTGCAGTTCGAATCATACGACGAATCCCTTGCTTGCAACATCATTGCCAACGACAAGCATCCGTCGCTATGGTTGTTGGAGTTGGTTCCAGCTCAATTGTTTGTTTTTAGTGTTTTCTAGAAGCTTCTAGGGGAATTGGGGAGGTCCAAAGACGATTCTATCATCAAACATCAATTTCAATGAAGAAATGATGAGCACACAAAATAATTTTTTTTTTTTATATATAATAAGAATGATGAGCACACAAAATAAATATCCAAGTTTTAATTTATAATTGAGAGACAAACCCCCTAACCAAATCCAACAACAACAACAAGAAATTTAGAGCATAATAATATAATAACAATCCTAAGTAATTTGATTTTGCTATGGTTCAATTATATAAGACGAGATTAAAAGTTTCTTCTCAATAAAGGGAAGGAAAAATAAAAAGCTTTGCTATCGGCGACTATTGACCAATGAAAAAGAAAAAAAAAAAATTAGAGCCACTGTCAATTGTAGGCTTTCGGTCAAAGGAGAAAGAAGATGTTGAGGAGGGAGTCTCTTCTAAAGATTATTGTGGGGAGTAATGGAGTATTAGCATATAAAACAATGACTGTATTTCCCGTTATGTGTATTTAAGGCTTTACCATTATTTTGTCTCTTCTTCTTTCTCCCTGCTTCTTTCTTCCAAGTTCTCATGGTATCAAGAGCCACAATGGGATATCAAGATTCAGCGGAAGCTTTACCTCCCTCCTCCTCCTCCGATCAAACCGACAACTGCACCACTCCAAGCCACATACCGCAACCCCTAAAGTTCCTTGTCTCCAACATCAAGAACCTTGCTCCTCATCCCCTAACGACAGAGAACTACCCCATTTGGCGTATTCAACTCCTCCAGCAATTCACCGCAAATGGCTACGTCGGCCATCTTACCGGCACCATCACAGCTCCCTCGGACACCACTTCCGCTGCTCACGCTCAATGGCTCCTCGTCGATAGCAATCTTCTCTCCGCTCTCTTCTCAACGGTCTTGCAATCCATTCAACCGTACATTATTACCTCCACCACCAGACAAGAAGCCTGGCCTGTTCTTGAACGTCGCCTTCAACCCACCAGCCACTCTCAGGAAATTCAACTCAAGAAAGAGTTATACTGCGTTCAAATGAAAGATCTGCCCATGCAACAGCTCACCCGCATTAAATCTATTGTGGAAAACATCTCCGCATCCGGTTCGAAAATCGACCCTGAAGATATCATGCTCCACATCCTGAATGGCCTTCCTCCCACATTCATGTCCTTCATGTCAACGATCCAGAACTCACTGCTTCCTATAGATATTGACACGTTCTACTCTCTACTATGCAATGAAAAAATTCATATGCAGCAAGAACTTAATCAAGATCACACCAACAACTCTGCGACAACAGCTCTTTATGCCGCCCCATCCAACAACTATCGCAGTCGCAACAACACCAAACGCTTCAGAAAACCCAAGAACCCGCAGCCACCGCTTAACACCTCGGCCTATCCGCTCAACTCACCCACATCTCAGAATTTGGCAAGACCAACGTGCCAAATCTACGGCAAAATCGGACATGTCACGCTGAACTACTGGCACCGATGCAATTTTAAATAAGCCCCTACCGATTCTAGACAGCCTCGCGCCCTTCTTGCCAATCCCAGTACCGCCGGAAGCTAAGACTGAATTCTTGACTCCGGCTCCTCCGCTCATCTCACTCCAGAAGCAACACAACTCTACTACCCGACTACTTACCAAGGATTGGACACGGTTTCTACTGCGAATGTTCCACGCTTCCTATCCACAACACTGGCAAAGGTCTTCTTCCGCTCCCGGACACCTCTCGTAAGCTCCACCTTCACAAGCTCCTTCACATACCATCCCTCACCCACAACCTCCTCTCCGTCTCTAAACTTACTACACACAATTGTATCTCAATAACTTTCGATGCTAACGGTTTCATTATGAAAGATCTTCGGGACCAACATCCTCTACTTCATGGTCAACTTCATAACGGCCTAAACCTCATTCGCATCTCCCCAGACACTCGCCATGCTGTCTTCACGTCCACAACCACATCTACTCACAACTGGCACTCCCGCCTCGGTCACACGAGCAAGGAAACTCTCTCCGTTCTTGCCCGCCATTTTTTGGCGTGATGCGTGCAGATGATGG